TATATCAAAGGAATCACTGATCAAATGGGGAAACTTATGAAAAAACACAACCTACAAACAGTATTCAGACCCACCAGAAAAATACAACAGACGCTACGATCGGCAAAAAACAGAAGAGACCCCCTCACTTCCGCAGGACTATACTGCATACCATGCAGTTGTGGACAGGTTTACATCGGGACCACACAGCGTAGCATTCAGACAAGAATAAAAGAACATGAAAGACACTGCAGACTTGGCCAACCTGAAAAATCAGCAGTGGCTGAACATAGCCTAATTCAAACAGGACACAGTATTTTGTTCCAAGACACTGAAAGGCTGGACAACACATCCAATTAGCATGTCAGATTACACATGGAAGCCATTGAAATTCATAAACATAAACACAATTTCAACTGGAAATAAGAGAGTTTAAAAATAAATAGGGCATGGTTACCTGTCCTGAAAAACACAAAAGGCTCTACATCTGACAATGGCACTACAGATAAGATTAGAATCCACATGCAAAAGAAACTCCTCAGGAAACAGGAAACCTCCTCAGGAAAGCTCCTCCATTAGCATGTTCACAGCCTGGGGAACTCCTACAAGATAATGACTCAGCTCTACCCCACCTTCCTGAGTAGATATAAATTACCTGCCTACCATTTTTCTTCTCACCTTGACACAGAGAGTACTTCATCTTTCTGTGCTATAGCTCTGAGGATGCCAGTCACAGCTACTGGCGAAACGTCAGGTCCTACAATGCCAAGACCACGGCCATACAACCCAGAAAACCTACAACAGCAAATGAATACTCTGCTCACATTCATGTTAGCATGTTTAAATGCCTTCCCTTCTGTGAATCTTTATGGCAAGTTTTTTGGTATCCCCTTTTCAGATAGATTTGTCAATGTAGTTCTGGCATTATCGATGCCATCTCACACATAATGGTGGACTATCCCTTGCTAAAAAGAGAGAGAGAGTGGTGGATACAGAGGTGGATTTCGGTGCACAATAACATCTCGCCAGATTCAGTTTCCCAAACCTGATTTTTGGCTGTGAACTATGATTGTACAGCAGCCATTGCAAAGCTTTTGACAGCTGCTGCTGCTTCTTCTAGGCATAAAGGCTTAAAGTTAAATTAAAAATCTTTAGAAGAAGTAAGTCATTATCATATGGTTTTGGGTTGTTCAAGACCTTGTGTCCATGAACAAAAAAAGGGAATAGAAAGAATACTCTGCTTTTGTTCCCTTCTAGGTGAATTGTTGGTATCTCATAGTAGTTTTCATTGTGTAGGCAACATGATCACCCCATCATGACTGCATCCCTATGGCAGCATATGCCCAGCTGGCAGAAAACCATGAATTAAAAGCATCTTATAGATGAGAAATGGAATATTTATGCATATAGCACAGTTCTAGTGCAGATTTTTCCTGCATTGCCATTACATAAAGCAAGAGTGAAGAACAGAATAACACTTAACAGAATGCTGACATCAGATGTTGCTGTCTAAATAAAATCCATATATTGCTTTTTTAGGAGCTGCAAAATGTGACAGCAACTGAAGGACAAGTAGTTGTGTTTGAGTGCAGAGTGAAGGGACCACCTCCCTTGCAAGTCAGTTGGTTTCGGCAAGGCACTGAAATTCAGGATTCCCCAGACTTCAGAGTTCTTCAAAAAAGTAAGAGGTGGAATAGTTCTGTTTTAAGTAGCCATGCAACATGAAAAATATTGTCTTGTTATACATTATTGTTTCATTTTTATTTTTGATTTTACATGCCTGTAATTTTAGTATCAAAAGCTGCATTCAAATGTCAAAATAAACCACAGATAATTTGCAATAAACTCTGCTTTGACTACCAGATGTCAGCAACCAGTCCTGGGCTGCTTCTACATTTCGATTCCCCATCCCACCCCTGCCACAGGGCAGTGGGAGGCCCTCACAGTATTTTGGAATATCCTGATGATGTCATGTCTCATCTGGCCCCCCTCAGTTTTGAACCAGATCAAAAATAAATCTCCTTTGATCCATCTCAGAGGGAAAACTTCAGGGGGGCTGCAGGTCCATCTGGATGCTCCATCCAGAGCCACTATGGGGAACGGCCAAGCTTAGCTGCACCTTCAGAACAGAAGAGCTAAGTTCTACATCTTCCTTCCCCACCCTGCATCTTCAGCTGTTTAAAGGGCTTTTTTCCTTTACCAGCTGAGCCTCATTGTAGCATTACCCTGCAACGCAACAGGAAATGTGCAAGTGTGATGGAGAAAACAGGCGCAGGAGCAGTGGGCGAGGGTTGGTGCCAGTGTATATGAACATCATGCCCACCTAACTTGCCTCTGCTGAGCGGGGTGTCCCAATTTTGCACCCTTATATGGAAAACTGTCCTAGTTTGTGCATAGATCCCAGTTTGCCTGTTTCTTGTCTCTTCTCCACATCCCAAAAGAAAGAACATCCTTCTTGTGCTGCCACCTCTGTGACCAGCTGGTGGTAAGGGGTGGTGGTGGTAGTTCTCAACAAAGTGTTGTTTGCAGATTTAGACTTCCCAGTATACCACAATTAGTAAAAAAAAACAGGGTTGAATCCCAGGAGACTGGCATAGCTGAGACTTACCCTAAAGCTAATCTTCTGGTGCTGCAATGTCACTTCCCGCTGTGTAACTGGAAGTGATGTCACCACATCATGGGATGCTCTAGAGTTTTGGATGAATCCCAGAGCCTCCAACAATGGGGTGATGTCGCATCTGGTTATGTAGCCAGAAGTGACACTGCTGCATTGGAAGACAGATTGCTCCCCCCTCCCCCCGTTGAGTGCTGTGAGGGATAGGGGAGTATTGGTGGGCAAATGGCAACCCTTATACGAACTGTGGCTAGTAAACCAGCAATAAAATCTTTCTGGAAATCCTGGTATAGGGGCCAACCAGTAAGCTCTGGTTTCCTGTATCATCCGCATTCAGAGAGCCCAACTAACTGGAGTTTGCTCAAACCCTGGCATATTGTGTTGTCTAAGTGCGGCCTAATAGTGCTACATTAAGACACACACTTAAAGTTTCTGAGAGTAACTGATTTCTGACACATTTTGTTCTTTGCTCTTTCCTTCTCCCTCCCCTGCTCTCTATTTGGATGATGTGATAAGCAGAGCCTCGATCTGCAGCTGAACCTGGTAAGCATCATGTGAAAGAACAATCTTTTTATTCACTCGCCCTTTGTGTTTGTACTGAAGCTAAACAGTGTAATGTTTCTGCAACGGACTGGTAATATGAAACCCCCTCCAAGGCAGTCTATTCTTTCTTACAGACTTCAGATCCTGCTATCCTGCACTTTACATCAGTCCCTTTATTAGTGGAACAGCAAATTCCATCCAGGCCAGTGTGGGTACACACACACACACCCCCGGTAAACCTTTTAAGCCCTCATTCTCTGAAATGGAGCAACTTGCAAGCTAATGAGGACAGACTGTATCCACAATTTTCCATCACTGAAACTCTACTGGCATGTTTTGATAGTACCAGACCACTAAATGCTAAATTTCCTCTTCTCAAATATGTATTATGTTAAATATAAGCAGAACCATCTTAAACAAAACAAACAACCATTACCAATTCAGAGTTATATTCATAGGGTAAAACATCCAGAATTAAGTGGGAAGGGGGCTGATTCTGCTTATGTTTTCTTCTTGTTTTTGTTAAGACCATCCTGCAGTTGTTTGATGGAGTTCTCTAAATATTCTATTGTAGGCATCTGAAGGTAGGTTCCCTCTTCTTAGGCTACTTCTGTGCTTCCAGTTTGGTGAGCAGCCTAGCCGCAAGGCTCTACTCATATGCCTCCTGCTGTCTTTCTGCTTGTACAAGTCAGTCAGTCCCTTATCTTTGGTTTCCAGCAATTCAATAACATAGCAGTAGTGATAAAGGACTAGTAAATGCTTGAATGCCTGGACAGTTTATAGCAATTGTTCATCTTCCCCACTATCTACCCCTGGGCATTTTCCTTAACAGTTTTGTAGTGCACACCCTAATTGTGATGGCCTGGCGGGAGCTGGTCCATGGGGTCGCGAAGAGGCAGACTCGACTCTGCGACTGAACAACAACAAAGATCACACCAGCATGCTAGGCGTACTGTTCTTATTCCATTTTCCTCCAGATAAAGAGCTGGATTCCCACCCAGTATTGTCAAACTGCTCTTTGTAGTGAAGTTCTGGTGGTAAGATGGTGGGGTGTTGTCAGGGAAAGGATCTGAGTGTTTGACTAGTTTATAAAGGCACAGAATGGATTGCAAAGTTTCAAAACCCCAGATCTTGAGGAGAGATTAGTACAGTAAAGTGGTATACTCTCAATTTTTTCTCCAGATGTGCTCAGCAGGCTGGGAGACAAAGCTGAAGAAAATGGATATTTGTATTTAGTCCCAGAAGACCTATCTGTGGAGTCTGCAGAGACTGTAACAGCAGATGTGATGTAACTCCAGCAATTCTAAGCAGATAGCTCAGTCACTGTGATGCAACTGTATTGTTTGCTGCCCAATGTAAACATGAAAAATGAGGGCAGAGATACCAACAGGTTCAGGGTATGAAGTGGGTAAACTGGCTCAATTCCCAGAGCCTGCCCTTTGAATAAGGGCGTTGAAAAGTTTTACGAAGCCATTAAAATGCAGAAGCTTGATGGAGTGTTACACTTCAAATAATTTGATTGTCTATGTTCCTTCCTAGAACATCTTCTTCCCAGGGTACATTTTTAATGTTATTGGTGTAATAAATAGAACAGGGAAGCAAAGAAGAGAGCTTTTATCTCTTCATCTGCTAATCTTTGACAGTCAGCAAAAATATTCTCAGGTGGCCATTCACTACATGCTAACAGATCGGACATGGTTGGCTCAGGAAAAGAAAAAATAGCTGTTCTTTCTGGATTCAGGCACCTGAACATTTATGAAACAGGTTTTTCTTGTCACCGCTAAGTTGTATCTGCCTAATGTGTTTTACACTCCTTTTTCTGTCTAGACGGAAATCAGCCTGCATCACTAATCTCTTCAGACTGTTTTGACAATTAATAGCCAGTCGAATTACTTAAGGCCAGCGTCACAGTTTGTCAAATTACCTGCTCAGTACCACGTTATTTTGACATTTTGACTTTATGCTGATTGACTTCTTCAAAGAACAGCCTGTTTAGGAAGGAGGAAAGAAACCGGTAGAATCATTTGCCAGTTGTTGATGCTTTGGCCATTACTCAGCTGTCTGGAAGCAGCCACAAAGTATATTGAATTTCTTTAAAACAATTATCTTCTGGTACGTAAAAATACTAAAGGCAGGATTGCCGGGGGAGAGGGGGGCCTTGATTCATGCTGTTCTTATTGGAAAGACATAGACACCCCTTATGAACGTTATCAGTCTTACAGGGCAGTCCTAAACGGGATTACACCCTGGATGTAAGAGAGTGTAACTCTGTTTGGGCTTACACTCTTAAAGGGACATTGTAGACCATGTTTAGTTATTCTTGTTCAAGCTGTGTTCTAGTCCTTTAGCTGTACAACAGAGCTCCAAGCCAGAGGAACCTGCCTCAGATGCAAAGCCTTTTCTTCATAATGTCAGTAACCTGAGGCCTTTTTCCTCACATGAACTTGTGGCATGATGAGAATCACTGCCAGTGCAGTGCCTTGTGTCAGTGTGAAGGTAACATCAGAAACTGTTGAGCCACACGGGGAGCAGTCCCAGCAACAGCTCCTCCCCATGTCAGCACTCTCCTAGCATCTTGGAAAGCAGATATTAGTATAGGGAGAGGGGGAGGAGAAGGTCACACGGGAGGGGGAAGGGGCTCCTTCTACACGGCCTGGCATTCTAACACAATCTTCACATGGTAGGAAGAGCTGTGCCAGGGGGACTCAGATGTTGCAAGGATAGCACAGGAAGGAGATTACAGTCGGAAGTGTAACCTTTGGATGACTGTGTATGCGGAGAGTGGGCCTAATTCCAGAACAGTATAAACTAGTGACAAAGCATGGAAGTCTTATCACAGAACTCTGGGAAAGGAATTGTACCAACTTTGTGTGGTTCAAAAAGCAACAGGATCTAGAGGCCAGGGGTGAATCTGTTCCTTTGCTTAACTGAGCAGAACTCTGAGGAAAGCTAATAATAATGATGATAATAATGATGATGATGATGATAATAATAATGATAATAATTTTCAAGTATTGAGGTGGAAGACGATGAACCATTAACCAGAACCTTTATTCAACATTGCTTCAGGACTTCAACAACTATGCTTGCAGTTTCTCTATATTTATACCATTGCATCGTAAAACAACAGCACTGTAACTCTGTGCCATAGGCTTGATTGGCCCTAAGCGGAGCCATGTGATTGGTTGCTTTCAGTTGGCTTTTAGGTCCAACGAACAATCTTTATTCTTAACCAATAGTAATGCAAAGATTACGATACCATATTCAACACAATAACTCAGAACATAACAATAATGATGATGATGATAATAATGATGATAATAGTAATAATAATGATAATAATAGCAACATTAGATTAGTAAGGACAAAGAATCCTCTCTCACTGTGTCTTCTGGTTTTACTATACTTTTATCTTTTTTTGTCTTCTTCTGCAGCACCAAAATACTTACAATATGTTGAACTCTATAAGGAATGGTTACTTTGGGCCCTTTTGCTTCTCCATTGCCAGTTACTCTTTGGCATCTTCAGTTAGCTTCTCTAGATTTTTTTGACCTCTCTTCCATGCACAATCTCACCCATAACCCTGGGTTTTTCCTTTAGGAAGGGGAACAATTCAACAGATGGATGAAGCTGAAGAACAAGTTATTTTTTTGCCAGATAAGGAAACTGAAGTACAAAATATAGCTTGGAGAGCTGATCCAGCATTTACGGAGGGAGGGAAAGCAGGGTAGGAAATAGGCAGCTACAGAAGACGTTTGGGAACACCTATAGTAAATCTTTGAAGCAGCAAACTTATTCTTCCATGATAAACAGAAATATTAACAGTTACTTTGCGTTTATCCCCTGATTTCCACATGCATTTTTGTGCCTTTCGTATTCACCTTGTATTTGGGTTTGGATTCGTTTTTCCAATGGCTTTTTCCATCTGTTTTGAGACTACTTTTACCTCAATGTTTTTCTGGAAGCTGGTTTTGAGTTGATTTTTTTCCTAGTGCATAATGTTTATATTAGTTCTCTTTGTCCCGCCAGCTCCCACCCATCTCTAGCCCACTTTTCAATTATTGGACTATTGTCATTAAACCACTCCCTCTCCTGCCCACTGTTCTGATCTATCAGGCTTGTTATTGTCTCAAGAGCCAGTCCAGCCTGAACAAGTGGTGGCAGCCTGCTGAAGACTGACAATTCATCAGTCTGACGCAGCCATGATTTACATAATCCAATAGCCAGTGCAGGCAGCTGTGCATGCAACAGAATTCCAAGGGCTCTAAGTTCATTGGGTAAATTGTCCCTTGCTCCCTTGCTCACCTTAAACCATTGGGATAATAGACTGTGAAGAGCTGGGGAGTGAAAGGGAAATGGAGTATACATATCTGTTCAGTTGTGCGAAGCATTGGAAAGGGTCAAAAGCAAAATTAATTTTCATCTAAACCAGTTAAGCTGGCCCTCAATGCAGTGGGAAGTCCGCATGGCTAGCTGAAGACTGACAGCTGCCATGAAAAGATAGTTGGAATAGGATACTGGAAGTCAGTGAGCTTTTGAAAAAATATTTTTAAATCCCCATTAAGAAACAAAGGCACAAATAAAAATGAAATCCAAGTTTCCTGCAAAGAAATTGATTTCAGAATTAGGAAATATGAGAATTTTTCTCTGCAAAAGTTTCTGCCATTTAGTTCAGCTCATTTAGTTTAGCTCATGAGACCTTTCTGTTACTCGAAACACTGTCAAATTAGTCAGTGAAATGTATCCTCTGAAGCTAGCAGTGCCGTCTTTCAAGTGGATAGGACATGGTGAAAATGTCCATTAAAAGTTCTTGTGCATCTTCCTTCCAGAGCTGCATGAGCTGTATCCATAAATTGAACTCATGCATCTCATTAACCCACCAGATGTTACACTGGCAGTACAAAAACAGGATCTGCAGGGTGCTCTTCACAGTTTTCCAATGAGACAATCCCATACAGCTGTGGGAAATTTGTGCATGAAGCAACCACATAGGCTCGGAA